AGGCGGCGAGCATCGGTGCTGGGCAGGGTTGGAGAGAGTGGGGGAGCCCGCGTCCTCCAGCTTGCTCAGAAGAGATTCCTGAAGTCACTGTAAACACGTACGAGTCTCTGTAATTCATAATAACAGCAAGCTAGTTGTATATCCTCATCAATCTGCAATTCAGTCTGATAGCGTTCTTCCCAGATGGAGTGGTCCTCCTGTGGCTAGAACCCCTTTTCGAGTGGATTAGGAAAATCAAGGTTTTCCATGCACGTTTTATCTTAATAGGAATTGGATCAAAACTGGAAGAAGCCTGTAGTCTGCACTGCAGGCACGGGGTTGGGGACATGGCCGTTAGAAGCAGCGTCTGCTTTGTGTCACAGGTTTAGCTGTACTCGCCCACTGCAACGATGGACAGCGAAGTGCAAAGGGATGGCAGGATCCTGGACTTGATCGATGATGCCTGGAGGGAAGATAAATTGCCGTACGAGGACGTGGCTATCCCTCTGGTAGGTGAATTGCTACTTATCAATCCGAGTTAGGACTGGCATGTTTATCACAACCCTTCCCAAGAAACAGCGCAGACAGTATTGCTTGTGGTGCAGCTAATTTGTACAAAAGGTTCCCGGGATGGATCTGACTCACTCTTTTGCTGTGCTATATGGCAGTCATTCCTGTGTGCAGACAAGGACGGCGATGTTTCTCTTCCCTGACCAGTAGCCGAATATCCTCGGAACTGGCATGCCCTTCCCATCGCATAATTCTGGGTTTGGCATCAGGGAGAAGTATAATCGTCCTTTCTCTGTGCCCCCCCTTCATGTCACTAGTGTCTGAAGTGGTGTCCCACTTAATTTGTCGAACAGCGAGGATCAGTCCCATGCTGATAGTTGCAGTCTTGGTTATACTTTATTTCCACTTTCTGAAATCTCGTTAAAAGAAGCTGAACATTTTTCAAGTGTCTTCCTAATCAGCCTTTCCCAGGTGCAGTGTTGCTGTTGCCACTTCAAGGACAGTAGTGACCAAACTGGCATCTGCACTGTGACTCTTGCCTGTAGTGCTGCATCAGCGCATGGCAGCTATCTGTTCTCCCAGTGTACACCTGCAAGGCCACAGAGGTGCAGCTGGGGAAAAGCTGCCTCTCATCTCACAGACTCCAGAATTGAAGCTTCAGATGTCCCCCACCGATGCCTGCCTTAGCCATTTTGAAAGTACCAGGGAAGTGAGAGGTATTTGAGGATTTTCGCTCTCCTTGTTCTCTCTGGTACACAAGCTTTACGCTGGCTGGCGCTGTCAGAGCAGTCATGCTGAGATCATGGGGACTGACAGGCTGATAGTCTCTTTTAGTGCACAGACACATTTCCCAGTTGCCAGTGACATGGCTCAAGCTTTAGCCCTTACACCACTGTCTTTTCAGAGAGGGCAAAGAGCAGCTACACACCTCCAAAACCCATATATATAGCACACAAGTTTTCCTGACAAGAATTGGGCTCGAGGGAATGATCTTGCAGAACTGTGATTCTCAGGTATGAGAGCCCAAACCCCTCTTTGCTTGGGATAACCTTTATTATATTATTGAATATTATAAACTAGTTCCTTGCTGACATTTGCCTTTACCCTGTGTCCAAACAGGACTGTTTCTTTCCTTACAGCCATCCCTTGAGCTACTTACAGTCACATACAGATGGCAGCCTCAGAGCAGGAAGCCTCATCAACTAACAATAGAAAGAAGGGCCTGGCTGTGGATATAAAGATCCCCAGGGATGGGAATGTCTCTGATAACAGAGAGAAATCAGCACAAATTCACAGGAGACTTACTCAGTGGCACTTTAAAGAAGCAAATAGAATGGCTGTAAAGGACTATTGGAGCCTGTCCTTAGCATCTGATCCAGCACTCACTTGAGAGATTCCTGTGAACTCAAATGGGCTCAAATCATACCCCCTTTTCAACACTGAAAAATTTTATTTCACTCATGCTGGGTTTTTCCAGAGATCTAGAACTCAGAATTCTTGCCCAAATGGTATCTGGCAGAATAACATGCACTCTGTGTGACTGCACCAGTGCAGCAACACGGAGAAGAAATAATGTAAGGAGGCAAAGGAAATGTAAGTTAAACTGTACTTGCACCTTAGTGTGTCATGAGCAGCTCTGTGTGGCACCTGGCAGGGCTTCTGAGTTCCACTGTTGATACAGCACAGCCACACTGGTGGTCAGCATGTAGGAGGAGGAAGGATTTCCCACCTGCCATAGGAAAGTAACATGTTACAGTTGTCTTAATAGCAGCTATAATACATGCAGAATCTGAATTCTTGGCAACAGCAAAAGGAACACATCGCAAACAAGCAATGGAATAATTGCATCACACTATTATTTACTTATTTTGCATTTACTACATATTCTTCTTCACTGCATGTGCAGTCTGAGTGTATAGCAAGGCCCCAGGGTCCTGGAAAACCAATTTACCTTTCAGATTAAGCACCAGATAAATGTGAAAAGAATATTGTTCATAACTGGGCTTAGTAGTATTTTTAAGTGGATCAGTATGTATGGTAAGTATTGTTCAGATGCACGCTCTGGGCTCATTTGTGGATTTTTGTATTTAACCATATGAAGTGGTGGGAGCCCGCTCTTTGCAGGCAGTGCACGATGTGTGGAATGCTTTGTACCTCTGCTTTGTTCTCAGAATGAGCTTCCTGAACCAGAGCAAGACAATGGTGGCACAACCGAGTCTGTGAAAGAGCAAGAAATGAAGTGGACAGATTTGGCTCTCCAGTATCTCCATGAAAACGTCCCACCCACGGGAAACTAGTGAATCAGGGAGATTTCATGCAGTGGATGCAGGAAATATTTTTCAGCTGACCATCGCTGTCATAAGCTTCTCCAAGGAGGAAACAACATTTCTGAAAAAGGCTCGGATTCAAACAATGGTTCTACTCACAGTGACCAAAATGCTTCTATACCAAGTGTGAAATAACAACAGCTATTTGACACCTCAGAGCTAATATCAGTGTTTTTCTTATGTATAATTATTTCATATCTTCTATTAAATTGTTCTTAAGTTGATGCCAGTTCTGATCTTAAATGTTTTCTACATGTGATAAAAGAAGTAGCTTTTACTGTCTCAAGTTGTTACTGTTTTCAAAGCTCACAACGGAATTATTTCTGACTCTGAAGGCTTCTGTCCCAAGAAGTATTCCTGTGTATTCCGTGGTAGAGTTCAGTGTACCAAACCCAAATAGCTGCAAGTCAGCTGTTAACATCTTTATCTAGTGTGTGGCTGAGGAGGGTTGTGTGGGGCAGGTGTGAAGGATTGGTCAGCAGGATTCAGGAGCTGGAAGTGATCTGTAAACACAGGTGGTTATCTGAACCCCTCACCTCTTTGGGGACAGCAGTTCCAGTGCTGACATCCTGGGTACATCTGCCAGTACACATACTGTAAACAATCGAGTTTAGTCTGAAATGGTGGTTACTCAAAATCCTTGTTTTTCAAAAGATAATTGAGAGTTACAAGGACGAGCTTGCCAGTCTGGGTGTACCTCCTGCGGAACTGACAGCCACTTGGATGAGCTGTCTCAGATAGGAAACAGAAATTTGAGGAAAAGAACCAAGTGGGGCACAGCTTCAGGCAGTAAAATTGTTCCCTCTTCTTATGGTGAGAAGAAAGGCACGGCCCTCTCGATTTCTTTACCTCATTTTATCTCTGATGCTCAGATGTCTGTTGCGATAGGTAAAAGCCTTCTGTTCATCTTGCATGTTTCGCTGTTGGACCGATTCCTTTGCACCACTGGCAGAACATGCTAAGGAGAAAATATTTTGACAGGGTTTAGGATTACTGGTAGAGGTGAGAAAGGAACTGGAAGGAAAACAATGTTTTAAATTATTTTCTTTTGCCAGAATATCGGAAAAAGCACTTTCACTGAAGCCTGCAGCTTCCACATGTCACAGAAGTTTTTTCTGGTGTCTTCTCTCAACGTTTATCCTCTTCAAAATCACAAAAACCAACTTCTGCCTGTGCGATTACCAAATGGAATCACAGCATGGTAAGACTGTGATTGCTGAGCTGCATGAGGATGGAGAGCTCCAGGTGCTTGTGAAAAAATCCTGTGTGTTGCTGGGTGTGCTCCTCTGTCGGAGGTGTAAGCCGTACCTGCGCCAGACAAGCAGCACGCACTTGTCTGAACAAGAAGGAGCTGCAGACAGCCAGCAAGCAGAGTTAAGGATTAACCCAAGAATTAGCAAAGGCAAAAAGCTTAGGATGTACAGCACAGACCAAAGAAACAGCTGTGCAGCTGGGAACTGTAACAGTTCAGCCCCTCATTGGATCATCACCAGGGGAGAAAACAGCCTGTGCTTAATGAGGTGTTTCTGATCTTCCCCATGGTCCCTTTCCCCAGCCCACGTTAGAAGAATTTGCAAAGAAAACAGTAGGCAAAGCCACCACGCAGCTGCTATCCAGCAGCCATCCCTGTTCTCTTCCCCTCCCCTCTCTCACCCCTTTCCAAACTCCCCACCACCCTCATCTTTCCCATTTTGCCACTAGATCGTCCACTCCAATTTCAGGCTCCCTTTCCTGCCCCAACTTTGCATCTGCCATCTTCCTCCTGTCCAGCAGGGAAAAAAAAACAGCTTTCTTACTTGAATGAGAGCTGGATTGGTGAGGTTCCAGCAGGGATGCAGTGAAGTCTGGTGGGGATCCCAGAGGTACAAGCGTCATCCAAGGCAGCAGTTGCTTGGCAGCCCAACGGAGATCAGATTGACTCAAACTGGTACCTCCCCTCTGTCACGACAGTGCTGTGCATCTGCCTCCTGCCCGAGATGACAGAGTCTCGGTGAGAAAGCATGCCGGGCCACCGTGCTCGGGAGAGCTGAAGGGACACGGGAGAGTAGGGATCATCAGGAGTGCGACCGACATAGGGCCCTGGGAAACCAAGTGCTGGCCCTGCCCAGATGCTTATCAGACCTGCAGGGACACCTACGTTCTCTGCTGCCTTTTGACATTCTTTGCAAAAGACAAATACACATGCAATGATTTCCGTAGTTTCAACACCCTTAGTCAAATCGCTGCATACAGCGTGATACCAAACCATTTGTGCCTTTGATTAGTCATTCCCCAGGGCAAACTATATTTAAAATACGGAAACCTGGTAGAATAGAAGGTGCCCCACCTTTATAAGAAGCAGCTTTGGTTGTATAACTAAAGACTGGTCTTCATTTCTTGGCTGGTAACTTCCTTCTTTCACCACACCTACTGTTGCTGGCACAGAAGGAGAGCAAACTCCTGTCAGAGACAGCAGACACATGCCAGAGAAATTGTGGGATCCTTAAAATCCTTTACCTGTGGAAGTTCCATGTGGAAGTCCACATGCTGAGGCTGTGTGGTGTGTTCATCTACCTTTTGTATGGGGTGAAAACAGGTAAGAAATCAGGTAAGAAATCATCTGTTTTGAGTGTTTTTGTCCAATATAACAGGTTTTCTCTGCCTTGCAGAAACATGGATATATGCACCCTCTGCGTTACAGTTACTGCACAGGGTTTTTTCTCTAGCATTATTTATTTTGGCAAAGCAAATTATCCTGGGTACATGAATGTAGTCAGCTCTAAGAGTTCCAAATGTAAAACCAGAAGTCATTTTTATTATCCTTTCCTCACTCTGCAAACATTGCTCTTATAAAAGTACTGTCCATCGATGCTGAAAATGTCATTTGAAATCTTCAGAGAAGAATTATTTCTTTTCAGCAGTGTCTTATATGACAGACACAAAGGATGAATTACCATTTATGAACAATAAGCTTCATTTGATTTCCTCACAGCCCTATCAAGAATTAACCTGTGTTACAATAAACAAATGTACTGCCTTGTGTTAGCGTACACACGGGAGCAAGTCGAGTTACAACTCTCTGCTTTGTAGAAAAAAAATGAAAAAAAAACAGTATTCTTACAAATACTAACTTGTATTTCATCAGGTTCTCCAGAGTAATCTTGGGGTCGCATTTTGCTTAGTTTGTTAAATATGCTTTGGGAAATGTAGTTACAAGAAGTAGAAGAAGAGAATTGTGTGAAAAGATGCCAAGGAAACCCAGTGAGATACTGAAGACCCGTTGAAGAGGCAGAGGGCATGCTCTCTGTGGACAAGCAATGGAAATCTTCACTAATTCCACGGAGATGTGCTGTGTGGTGGTAACCTGTGCTTGAAACTGAGGGCTCATTATTGATGCACAAGACCAGTCTGTTGAAACTCACTGTACAAAGCCCAGGCAAGCTTTTTTTTGCAAGCCCACGCAAGGTGTGGGCTGGGTGTGCAGCCCCCTTCGCGGGCTCTGTGTGGCAGTACAGTCTCACCACAGCTAGAAAAAATCCCACCAAGTGACCACAGACCCACCAAAGTGAAAATCTGTTGGAGCTTCAGTCGACAAGAGGACAGACTTGTGGAGGTAAAAAATTCAGCTGCTATTATATTCATGCAGACAGCCTCAAGATCACAGCCCCAAAAAGCCCCTGCTGCAAACCCTGCCCGTCTGCAGGGTGAGCAGCCAGGACAGAAGGAAGAAAAAGCCTCCAGGCACCATCCCCAAGAAAAGAAAGGAAGAGACCAGGGGAATGTAGGACTTGGGGAGCAGTGGAGCAGTACATACCACGGAGTCTGCCAGGGACCATTCTCATGACCGCAACACTCCCACCTAGGAGTATATAACTTCATGTTATGTATATATATATATACATACACATATGTAATTTAAGAACCAAGTTATTCTGAGGATGCCCCTCCTGCAGCAATAGCACCTCATAGAATCACAGAATCATTGAATCATTAAGGTTGGAAAAGACCTCAAGGATCATCAAGTCCAACCGTCAACCCACACCACCTAACTCACTAAACCAAAGGCTGATCAGAGGCTGATCTCAAGCTCGAGACAAGATGTCCAGCTCCCAGACAGTTCCCAGCCACAGGTGCTGAGCTGTCAGAGCGCCCGGCCCAGGACACTACTGTTTGCCTTCCTATTTTACATACCAGAAAACCCAGCAGAGGGAGAACAGGGAATTGCCTGAGGCTGTTCAGCAAGGTAGCAGCCAAGACAGGGCTGGGAGCAAGTTGAGGGGACACTGGGTTAACTGCCACTTTTATTCACCTTTCCTGGAGGGAAGCGGTCTGTTGGACAGGGGTTAATCGCAGCCCAGGCTGTGAGTTTCCACCTCCCTTGCTCACTTGCAGAGTTAATCTCAACAAGCGTTTTGCCCCATCAGAGAAATCTTGTGGGAGTTTCGAAGACAGTTCCAGCCAGTGGGATTCACCATGTTTATCAGAAGGAAGAGCAAAGCCCAGATAACTGGCTGTCCTCATGTGCCAGCTTTTGTCAGACATGGTCGAGGAGTGTGGGATGTGCAGCAGCCTGCCAGAGGAGAAGCTGGAAGGTCCTCCCCCACTGTTAGCACTGATGTGATTTGGTTAATCAGAACAAATCTAACAGACTTGGTGCAGATATAATAAGGCTTTTTAAGCAATTCCTGTGTAAGGTATTAGCAAATGCCAATCAGCTCTTTAAAAGCTCTTCTTTACCAGACGGTTTGGTGGTCTGGTGACAAACAGTGCTCCTCCGGGCAAGTCTCAGCACAGTGCAGGAGACACAGAAACAAGTGAAGCAATCAGCACAATATTGCACCATATAGAAGTAATTCTTGTCTGGCATTTCTGCCTGTATTACTACAGCATCAGTGGCGGTAAAGATGATTAACAATACTCTATAATAACTACAACAATTTCTAGGTATTAGTAAAAAATAAATATGATTGTATTTTTTTATGTTGCAGTAGCACCTAGAGGAGAGTGGTTGAGTATCACTGTGTATGCTGGTGTGTACCAGCAAAAAATGGGAACTTCTCTCTGCTGGGTACTTTGAGATCTCCACATGAGCAGTGTCACAGGAGAACTCTTGCTGCTGT